TGACAGTTGTTAGCGCTTGTACTCTTTATGCTTGTGTGTTCATTTCGCGCGTCTTTCTTTCTGCTTGGGCAGTGTGCCTTGAGCTTCAAGCTGTGACAGTCGTTTGTCCGCGCTGGTCCCGCGCATGCTCAATTCGTGTGTGCTTTCTGCTTAAAGTGCGCACTGAAAGTATCCAGCTGTTTGTCATTCTTCGCGTGACACTACCTTACTGTAGCATTCATTCATTCGCCCTTGTGAAGAAACAATGAGCAATGAATGCTCAACTACCTCTGCGAGTACACGTTTCATTTTCGGGTTAAACCGAGTCCTAAATAGAGGGATCAGCTACGTCTTTTTTTCTTTGTATTTTCGTGAATAAAAGTAACGAGTTATTTCAAAAACTGTCTATTGCTAATCAATCTGAGATTATGAACCGATTCGTTTATGTATCAAGGCAACGCCAATATCAAGGCCGATACCCCATAGTGGGTTGCGCCAGTTTCACAAGGGTCAACCAGCCGACCAACTCGCACCCATTTGTCCGGCGTGGAATGCAATAACTCTAGGTGGGCGAGAAAACCAGTCCAGACAGAGGAAGACATAACGAGAGAAATATAGACAAAGAAAACGGGTAAAAGACAAAGATTAATAAAAGGCGAGAGAAAACGGGTTAAGGGAGAGAGAAGAGGGGAAGAATGGGACGGGAAGAAATAAAAAGGTGGAAGGCGAGATGAGGTGTACAGGGAGAGCGAGAGAGAAAAAGAAAGAAAAAAAAGGCGGAAGAAAAATTACAGTACATCCACGGAGTGAATGGTGATGAGTGAGACGAAGCGTCCACCTGTCTGTCTGTCCGTCCGTCCGACCAACCGACTGACTGGCACTTTAATCATCAACTATAAGAATTCCCTACCGCCATCTAGTGATCTTATATACTATTTTACGTATAGACACACAACGCCATCTTCGTACTTAACTATGGGTTAGAATCACGATAACAGCAAGGACCTAAGCGTATGAACTTGTGGTCTATTAGAAACTTCGTTTGTTAAAAAAAAAGTGTTAAGTATTTCGAGTAATTCGCGCTCAGCTGTGGGAGAGCAGTGTGCCGTCCCTAAAGCGTTGTGTTAAGAAAAAAAAAGTGTTTAACGATTCAGAGTACTTGGTACTCTACGACGGTAGTGCAAAATGTCTTCCCAGGTAAGCTTGTCGAAATTATGTATATTTTTCCTTAAGCAAGTTGGAACACCTCGGAATAAGGAAGTACCGTCGCAGACAGCCAGCGCTGGAACTAAGAGTCGAAATCACTGCCCCCGAACCACTATACTTCAAGACGCCAAACGAAAGTGTCATGAAAACAAAATAAAGAATAGACAGCAAGGCTCCAGCTTCTGTATATCTCCGCTATCTTCGTACTCGACGACGGGGTGTGTAATGAGATAAAGATTGCGTCAACCGGCGTTCAGTGTACACACACACACACACACACACACACACACACACACACACACACACACACACACACACACACACACACACACACACACACACACACACACACACACACACAAGCACACGCACGCGGACACACACACACGGCTGCGGACCCACAGGTCACGGGATCGAATCCCGGTGGCGGCGGCTGCATTTCCGATGGAGGCAGAAATGATGTAGGCCCGTGTGCTCAGATTTGGGTGCACGTTAAAGAACCCCAGGTGGTAAAAGTTTCCGGAGCCCTCCACTACGGCGTCTCTCATAATCATATGGTGGTTTTGGGACGTTAAACCCCACAAATCAATCAACCCACACACACACACACGCGCACGCGCACACACACACACACACGCACACACACACACACGCACACACACACGCACGCACGCACACACACGCACGCACACACACACACAACCGATGTAAAGGCAGCGCGGGCATCTACGGGCGTGCGCGTGCTTCCAAAGAAAGATAAGATGGTCGCAATCTCCTGCCAAAAACGAAGGCAAAGGGACCGCCCGTATAGGTCAATCAATTCGCGCTCTCCACATCGGTCACGCATGTCGTTAAAGCTTCCTCTCTTTATTCGTTATTGCGACGGAATCTTCCATGCGGTGACGTCATATTCCATTCCGGCATTATCGGGTGTCGTTTGTAGTATCGATCTAGGAGAAATTCCGTGTAGAAAAGAAAAAGAGAACTTGGCAGGTGCCACGTACCTTGAGAATCAATGTTATGCGAAGAATGCGGACGGGAGGTGGCTGTGTTATAAATTCTTTTTTAGTAAGTAAAACGAAATGACGCTAGATATATGTACATATATTCCACGCACAGATATACGTTGAACAGTCGCACTTGTTTTACAATAACGAATTGTTTACAGTTGCACAACGATGCCAAGAGCAAGCAATGTGGGTATTGCCAATACAAGAAGCGGTAAGCTGATATGTATTGCTTGAGATACATATCATATGAAGCATATTGATTGATTGATTGATTGATTGATTGATTGATTGATTGATTGATTGATTGATATGTGGGGTTTAACGTCCCAAAACCACCATATGATTATGAGAGACGCCGTAGTGAAGGGCTCCGCAAATCTAGATCACCTGGGGTTTTTTAACGTGCACCCGAAAATTGAGCACACGGGCCTACAACCTTTTCACCTCCATCGAAAATGCAGCCGCCACAGCCGGGATTCGAACCCGCGACCTGCGGGTCAGCAGCCGAGTACCTTAGCTACTAGACCATCACGGCGGGGCTATATGGAGCATATGATATGTGTTATAAACATATGAAATGTTTATAAAATTGGTTAGCCAGCACTGCATCCACCGCTGACATTTCGTGAACATTGGGGTCTGCTTGAAAAGTTCTGAAACCTGGCATGGCTTTGGGGTAGAATACTTGATTGCCACGCAAAATACTTGGGTTAAATTGCTGCTTGGACCCTGGCGTTTTTTTTTTCCTTTGAATTCGTCGGGTAAATGCTTCCAATGCTAGCTTTTTCTTAATGCTCTCGCGTTGGAATTACTAATGCCTGTTCTCGAAGAAAGTGTAAATTGAAGGGCTTGTTTTTCGAAGTAATTTTGATATATATATATATATATATATATATATATATATATATATATATATATATATATATATATATATATATATATATATATATATATATTATATATATATATATATATATATATATATATATATATATATATATATATAGATATATATATATATATATATATATATATATATATATATATATATGAGATATAACAGACAGTAATGCCAAGGATTGTACAGGGGAAGTTATTAACATTAATGGAATGTAAATAAGAAGAAAGAAAAGTGGATGAAAAAATTACCAACTGTAAGCAGTTCCTGCTTACAGTTGGTAATTTTTTCATCCACTTTTCTTTCTTCTTATTTACATTCCATTAATGTTAATAACTTCCCCTGTACAATCCTTGGCATTACTGTCTGTTATATCTCATTATTATTGTGTTAAAAACACGGAAAAACGAGCCCTTAGGTATACACTTCTTTCCCTTATATATATATATATATAGATGTGTGTGTGTGTGTGTGTGTGTGAAAAAAGAAAAGTGGTCCAAAAGACAACTTGCCGCTGGCAGGATCCGAACCAGCGGCCTTCACATAACGCGTCCGATGCTCTACCACGGAGATACGGTGACGACCATCTCTCCGTCCACTTAAGCATTTATACGCAGTAGCGTCAGCCAGCGCCACCTGTTGCCATTACGGCGAGTGTGGAACACTCCATTTTTGCGTGTTTGACGTCACGTAAGTGATCTTATTTCGAGATGCCAGCTGACCAATAATACCTCGCACACCACCTGAAGGCATCGGGTCTGCCAGGTCGAAACCCTTGCTGAAAACTTTCTTCACATTTACGTTATAATTACTTGTAATAACAACCCCTATACTTTCCCTGGCATTATTATCTGTTAGTTCGCATTAATATAATGTCTGTCCAGCAGGCCCACGAAGCGGCCGCCAGGTCCTTACTCCCTGTCGGTCCCTACGTGGGAGACGCCCGCTACGCGCTAAGCGCGTCCTGCAGAACTGAAATAAAGTTTTTTTTTTTCATTCCATTACATTCTCACCGATCTCGGTGGGTGGATATAAACTGTAAATGACCTGTGGCACACACTCGCACACCTGTGGCACGTACCCGCCCGCGGGTATATGCCATAGTTATGCGGAAAGAGTCTGGTAGGAAGGGTATGATGACGTATGCGACGGGATTGCGACATTATTCCCGTCATGACCAGCGAGCCATATTCTTCCGGCCATTTTACCCTCTCATAATTATTTTGGTTTAACCAAAGCTGGGTGATCACGAGAGCACCCAGACCTGCAGGGGCGGCGCCAGGATGTTTTTACTGGGGGGGGGGGGGGGGGCAACCACGAAAAGTGAGTTCCTCCGGGGGGGGGGGGGGCAAGCTAGCTCTGCTCCTACTAGGTTTTCAATATATGCTTCCGGGCACTTGGGTGGGCATAGGGGGGCAGGCAAGAATTTTGGGAGGGCTCCAGCCCACCCTTGCCCCCCCCCCCCCCTGGCGCCGCCCCTGCAGACCTGGGCAGTTAGAAAGAAAGATACGTAGATAGATGATCAAAGTGCTTGCAGTACGCAAAGAAATGCTTCGCTTAAAAAAGCGTCCAGCTTCCGGAACGTTGGATCGACCCCGCCGTGCTGTTAAAGAGTCCCTAAACAGCGCCATTCGTGACGCCAGCAGTCTGTTCACATGACGTCACGAGGAAATAAGCTTCCGATCGGGTCCATGGGTGAGAGACATCAAGTTGTGGAGGGTCGCCTACCGTGCTCTGATAACGCTGTCGCACGTCTTTACTCCCACGGTTATAGGGCGCAATCAACTGATTTCCATTCGTCTTGTGCTTTTTTTTAACTGCGCTATCGGAGATATCAGCGTGTACTCTAAAAGCGCGATATGCTGATGGGATCAGCGCGGGCGTCGTCCCCGTGTTTCACGAAGAAATAAGTGGCGAAGAGGAGACTGCAGCGCCGATCAGAAAAGGTGCTGCGAAGGTGACAAACGAAACCACACACTCTGTCCTTGAAGCTCGGTGTGGTTTGGGGGCCTTCTACAAGTTCGTGAAATAGTGTTTCCACATTCGGCTTTCATTTTATTGTCCGCGTACGAACAGTCGTGAGACGTCCACTGATTCGCAGCCCGTTCTCGAACCAGTGTTATTCGGGATAGAAGCGAAGGCGCGGACACGACGGCTGGTCTGCAAGGGCTTCAACTGCCACGCAAACACTCTGCTGCTGGTCGACTTGCTTGTAAGTAAGAAGTGTGGCAGCTTGGGCTAGATGGTATGGCATGACGATAGTTATAGAGCGAGAACGGAACGACGACACAGAGACAAGGACACGAGCGTGTCCTTCATGTCCTTCTTGTCTCTGCGTCGTCGTTCTGTACTCGCGCTATAACTATATAGTCATCGCTTGTAAGCCTGCGAGGTACTGCACGCAATTCAGTGCTCCTCGAAGTGCTCAGCGGGCCGCCATCTGGTAAGGATCAATTTTTTCTAAGGACGCGTTAATCTGCGTAGCGTAGCCTTCCACTTCGCTGTGCCAAGACGGTCTAACTTGCATGTTTTCTTCGTGTTCCCTTCCTTTCGGTCGCGTAATCTACCCCTCTTCTCTCGCTTTGTTCTTTTTCTTTTGCACTCCTTTTTTGTCCAGATAAACGTATCGCGGGAGCTCCTGGTGGAATGGCGATATTTTCTCATCTTCGCTTATTTCTCTTTCGTCCCTGTTCTTTCCAGAGACGCCAGCGTCGCCGCAGGGACCGTGGGTTTACTCGAAATACGATTCCGTGGTCGCTGTTCGTACACACGGGAACCACGCCTGTTGCCATGGATCGGGAACTGCCACTCGAGTGCTGATCGCGCAGCTGGATCGATACGTCCTCGCCTATAAACTTTCAGGTATCCGTACTGTTCTTTACGTATAGTGCTCCATTTGGTACGAGTTCTTTGAATTGGTCTGGCAGCACCGGCACTCGCGCCCAGCCATCCACTTCGGCTGCCGTACTCTGCCGAAATGCGCGAAGACCAACGCCACAATGATACCTAACGTAGTCATACGCCATGATAGCTCCTTGTGCCATCTTTCAAGCATGAACGGAAGCTGACGTGTCGTAGAAGCTGTGGCCAAGAACAGTGTCTACAGCCACGCGTTCGTCTGCTCTAGACAAGTGTGATTGTACACACGTGTCATCTACCTTTTACACCGAAAGATCGTGTCCACGAAATCGGAGAACCTTCCAGGTGGTTTCGTCCTGTTCCGGTTTGGCATGAACTTGACGTGGTCGGCGCAGAGTGACGATGTTGTCAGGTGGCCACATGTTCAGGTAGCACCTGCAATGAGATGCTTTCCATCGGCCATGGAGTGGTAAACAGGTCCGCTTTTGTCCTATCATCGCGCCTATACATTATACCGCAGCATTTTGCCCGTTTGTTTATTTTTTCTTTGGTGGGGACATTTCGCACCATTGCTGACGAGTGACTGCCTTTCGAGACAAAATGAGGGCTTTTTTTTTGTTGTTGTCGCTACAGCATACTGCCTGCTGTTTACACGTAAAATTGTTGGTATACATGGTGTCAGCCTTTGTGCATTTATACGGCCGTCTTCCCGTTTCGCCATACGAGTTAACGTGGCAGTAACAAACATGCTTGTATAGACGAAGTTTTCCGGCTCGATAGCAGTATTCCCCACTTTTTCTGTGCCATACAGCATTCTCGCACTGGAAATACTTGCATTTATAAAAAGTCTGCGAGCGCATGCAGGCGTGAAACGTAACTTACGGTGGCTTTAAAAAATAGTGTTCATTCAAGCCCATTATTCAAAGCACTGAGTAGTGACGGCGGAAAGATCGATAACCTTAACAGTGCGATGCTTGGTGGAGCGCAGCGCGCACTCAAGTGGCGCACCTCGCTGTCATTATCGTCAAAGATGTGAAAAGTGATATTATCTGGTTTTTTGGGGGGGTAGATAGAGGCAAGAAATGCTGCATATGAACTGCTCACTGAAGGTCGACACTAATCGCCACCGTTTCTTAAAAAAGAAAAAAACATTCATGCAGTTTCTTTCTTCGTACACTGTTTAGTCATCTTCATCTGGGACTGATCAGTTCTTAAAGGGTAGCTGAGGAAATTTTAGAATTGAATCGAACTTCGTGTTTAGGAAGGACCAACATTATTGTTGACGATGTCATAAATGTTTTCGCAGTTGTAGCAGCACGAGCTTTAGAACAGGCGAAATAAAAGCTTGTCTTGCTCCATCCTTGCGAGCACGTTGAAAGAGTGGGCGTGAAAACAGACGTCATCTTTGTTTCCTCTGCCCCGGAGCAAGTGTTCCTTCTTATCTTCAACCACGGCCTCCGTGACTAACGCATGACGTGCCGTTGCCGGAACTAATCGAAGAGGCCACACTTCAGCAGTGCTGCTGTTGCAGATGACGCGGCATGCCGAGAATGACGTCACCGTGTTCGCTAGGCGTCCCAAGAAGCTCGGCGGCCGTAGCAACTGTTTTTCAACCAAAAAGATCTGTTAGCGCTCACTTTTGAGAACTCTCGCATCGATTTTCTAATTAGGCAGGGATCAAGCTGTCCTCACACTCTCCTAAGTCATTTTTTTAGAAAAGTGCTTCAGCTTCCTTTTAAATTTCCTCGCCTGGTTCACAGTATCGCTTAAGATGCGAGCGTGTAACGTAGACAAATAGGAACTGAGGGGCAGTCCTTGTATAATTTACGGGCTCGTATTTTAAGCCTCCATAAATCGCCAACTCACCCAATGAGACGTATTAACTCACAGGAGGAACAAAAAAAAACTGCAAGTCATTGACCTCTCGGAAGGTTTTATTATGGCCAGCGAAGATACCTATGTAGCACATGCATTTGATAAACAAAATGATAAACAATGTATTTTTTATTCATTTATGATTTAGTACGTATAGAGCACGCTGGCTCTGGTCAGAGTGACCACAAACCTCAAAAATTATACTGACAAACTTGATGTTGGTTCAGAAGTACAGCTAGTTGAGATAATTTAGTTACCATTTTTTTTTCTATTTAGGTGCCTATTCGCGGTGTCGGTGCCATTTTGAGCCCCGACAGCGTGTTGAAACTCAAATTGAGCGCAACTGTATGCACATCCATTCATTCTATCATTCATTCATTCATTTGCTTTCTTTCTTTCTGTCTGATTTTAGTGTACCATTGGTGCGTAGTGGTGTTTGCCCTACTTCTGTTTCACTTACCCATTAGGAGCCTTCTGCAGAATAAGTCATTGTTGACTATGTAAGCAGTAGCCGTCACGGTGGCGCAGTGGTCATGGTGTGTTCGACTGCTGATCCGAAAGGTCATGGGATCGAATCCCGGCTGTGGCGGCTGCATTTCCGATGGAGGCGGAAATGCTGTAGGCCCGTGTGCTCAGATTTGGGTGCACGTTAAAGAACCCCAGGTGGTCGAAGTTTCCGGAGCCCTGCACTGTGGCGTTTCTCATAATCGTATCGCGGTTTCGTGACGTTAGAACACCAGCAACTATCATCCCTCTTCGCGGAGTTCTGTTGTGTTCATGTTTCTCATTAGGGTAACACTCACGTTGATTGATTTGTGGAATAATACGATTATAGTTGCGGGACACCTGCGCACTACTCTTACGTTCGATTTTTCTTAGTGTAAGACTGTAGGCGTAATTAGAGAATTTTAAGTTTCTTTTTCCTTTATTAGGCGACCCACCAGGTCATCTCTCGTGTCGCCTACGTCGTCGATGACATGCGCAACGCGTGCATTCCGGGAGTCCCCTCGGTCCCTGGCTGCGCAGCGGCGAGTGGAGCGATCCAGCATTAGCGGTGGCCCGCCTTCTTCGTCTGGCAACAGGCGCCGTGCATCCGACAGGGCTCCAGCTTCGGCGCAGCCAAACACGGCGCGACGCTCCAGTCAGCAGAGCGGGCGTCGGCACGCTCTGCTCAACGGAGCAGCATCCGCCATTGCCAGGATGTGGCAGCACGGTAATGAACCGCATGTACCACAACCTTCTTATATTTCTGCAAGCGTACTCCATCAACCGCTCCTGTCCCGCAGTGGCGAGCGGAAAGAAGAAAAAGTTGGTGGATAACTAAATCTTTGAAGTGAGACCGGATCAAGTTGGTTTAAAATACAGAGTGTCAGCGTGGCCCTCTGAGCCAGAAGCCCGGCAAGCAATTGCGTTCCTTTGTGTACTCCTTGCGCTTTCTTCTCTTCATCAGCCGGAGTACAAAAGGACGCAGTAGGGTGCCGCAAAGCTTGGGGCACCGACATTAGAGAGCTTTAGTACTGCGTACGCTGCGTACGTGGCGGCGTTGCGTACGTAAGGACGCCACGTTCTGTGCAGTGCGCATGCGCAGACCGCAACGCGCACGTATCGCATTACGTACGCAGCCGCTAGGTACGCACGCATGAAATGCGTGCGTACGTACGTATGAGGTGATCGCGCCGCTCTCGAACAAGTTCGCGACAGCGCGAGACTTCGTTTTGCAAAATGGCGGCATCGAAGGCAAGCACCGACCGGCTCTGTGGCTTAAAATATGGCCATAATCTGGCTATAACACTTGGATTGGCTCACATTGGCTGTCAACAACACGTGCTTCTATTTTTATCTACCTGATGGCGCAACACGCTTCACGCTCGTTACGTACACAGGTACTACGGCGTACTAAAAGCCGATTAGTGGCAAACGACGCCACGTAACGCAAGGCGTTTGCGTGATGCGTACGTAGCACCATTCCGCAGTACTAAAACTCTCTATTAATACTGAAATGATTGTGTTGTTTATTTATTTATTTCACCAAGGCCCGAAGGCAATAAAGCGGGGAGTATATGTTGTGGGGTCTAAAGGTAGTAATCGCCACCACGCTCTTAGAGTAAACGGACACAGTAGACACGGTTGGTCCAAACCAAACAACAACATACTTTTACTCAACTAATCTCAAGAACGACGATATTGTCAGCCGAGTGATTAAAACAGCAATCGTGATCAACTCGCTAAGACATCCTTACACAATATTAAACAACAGGACAAACACATTAACACACCCAAGGCGACATCGCCAACGCTTGACTTACCACGAGGGCCCCCGACGCGCAACCCGCGGTGCCGCGCACCGGGGACCCACGCTAGAGACAACCGTTCGCGGAAAGCGCCACGCGCAGAAGAGAGCAGCTTATTTCTAGCTCGCCGCTACCAAGGCTATACCATGGTAATGATGATGATAGTGGTGATCAACGCTCGCGAACACAACGCCACCTAACGCCCGGTAGTTGTCCCCCGAAATGCGGCTTTCGAGCGAGAGACGTGCCACGCAGCGCAGGCAACTTTACAAAGTGCCAGCACCCCCACAGTGTGAGAAGATTGCAAAGAAACAAGAATAAACAACACAAAAAATAATTGCTGCATTGTATGATACGAGATAGAATGGTATGGCAACAAGGCAGTATGATACGTGTCATAAAGACTACTCGAAATAAAATGGCTCATTATACAATCTTTAAGCAAGCAGTAGATAGCCACGATTTATTATACAGTAAATATTTACTTCAATTTAGCCAACACCGTCAATACTAGAGTGAATATATCGGTACGTTGAATTATTTCCAAATTATCATTATGCTTTATAATATTCAGCTTTGAGCATAATGCAAAGACCATTGCAGTGTGGGCGAGTATTTTTAGCCATAACAAAACATTTTTTTTTTACTTTATTCGTAACCGCAAGCTAGGCGGTAGTGCAAAGTCAACGCCATGCCATCCCGATAAATATTCACGGAAGCACTAAAAACGAGCAAATGCATTTTTACAAAAAGAACCAAAAACTTTCGATATTTGAAAAAATCAGATCTTGTGTGCGAGAAGTATTTTACCGATTGCTTTCTTCGGATGACACTTGTGTGGCTGAACTGTAGCGCAAGATTCGATCAGCGATTTGTGCTTGTTGGTGCTTAGTGACTTCATGCATAACGAATTAAGGAAAAAAAAAACGCGGTGTACACAACAGATAGGACGCGACACTTCTGTCTGTTAGTGCTGTGCCCTTTCTGTTGTTTTCACCTTATCCGTTGTCTTTCACTTATTTTTGGCGCTAATTGCTTGTGTGTATAGTACAAGAGGCAATCGTTTTCCAGTTGTTTACATGACTATGTAGCTTTGTTCACTTGAACGGGAGTATTCGTCAACTCAGATGCAACAGGTGGACTTGAATGGGGCGGGTACTATGAGTGCAGTGTAAGTTTGAACAGCCCAAACGTCTCTGACCCATTATTATTGCATTAAAGAAATCTCGAGTTTTTCGTGCTCCGTGAGCCCTTGGGACACAAAATGCGTAACTGTCTACCCACAATTTTTTTTCTACCAATTGGCTTTCCTAGAACATTTTGCACTTCGGGTAATAATTGAAAAACCCTTTTCATTTTTTTTCGATTGGCTTTAAACCTGGTATGCTTTATGCGGGGACAGGTATTTTCCGCACCATTATTGTTTGGCTTTCTTTTCTTGAGCTGGGAATGAAGTTTGGGCTGGGGCTTGAACCGGGGTCGGTTACCTGTGACCTACAGGACGGTGTTATGTTATGCAACCCCCTGCACGGTGTCAGAACACCACTCCTATCCCTTTGTCACATTCTACCCGAAGCATGGCATGGCAGTTTCGACCTGAAATGGGTTTAGACAGGATCAAACAAAAAAAAAAAGGGGGGGGGGGGGTCACTTCCAGTTGGTATGGTCTCCTTATCTTCCTGTGCGAGAAAATTGCAACCTTGTGACATGTGCGCGTTGTAAATAAGCATTATTCCTGTTTCATATATTAGACATGACCTATATTTGGCACGAAAAACTCATGAATCACTTTTATGAATAGCTTAGTCACGACTCCTATCTGTTTCACGCCTTTTATTTTTGTTATTCCATGACAGTAACCTAACCACATTGTGTCCGTACATAAACTTCATAGCAAACCAAGAGCATTCATCTCGTCAAAGCTTGAGCGTGAATCATCTTAAAGGCGGAGAGTCTTGTTGATATTTGCAAAGTGTTTCAGCGCGCGAACAAAGGAAAAAAGGACAGGGTAGAGAGCAACTTACCCGAGAAATTATCGAAGCAGAAAAAATACACGTGCTAGGAGATAAATGCGTAAGCACTTCATCGGTTGCGTTATCCCAGGCTGAACGCGATTACCTGGCTGGGCTTTGAGGCATTAGAGGACCTGTCACACGTGCTGTTACTGGTGTGTAGATTGGGCTTGTTTTTTTACATTCATGCTCTGTAATCTTCCTTTTTAGACGTATAAATTCTTGCCACTCTGCGAAATAAAGTTAGTTGGAAGCAGCGCTCTTTCTGTCTACCCTGTCCTTTTTTCCTTTGTTCGCGCGCTGAAACACCTTGCAAATATGAATACGCACCAACTAGCCCAAGCTTCCACTCTTGTGAGTCTTGTTGAATGCGGGCAGGGTCGCCATTCTGAGCCTGCCCGCAGGCTCGCGATGCTAATACTACCCGTCATTAATCCATATTCGTAGTTATGTCTCATTTCCTCATTTCGCAGCGTTCCAGACTTCAGCGACATGACGGCATCAGCTTCCGTAGTATTTTGGGCCATTCTTCTCTATAGCATTCTCATACACCTTAGTCGGCGTAGTTGCTGGGACGTCCACAGATACCGTTCTCCATTCCGTGGCCTGCCACGCAATGCTCTGCGACCCCAAGGTTCACTAACCTACATGGTACGTCAATATCACCTTTAACTCTTTGCCCCATTTTACTACTGTACAGACATTAACTTTTTGTCTGTATATAAGGCATGAGGTGTCGTGCAATTTTTGTTTTTCTTTCAATTGACACAGAAGATTCCAGCTGATGTGTATTCACCTCCCACGAGAAAACTGTTTGCATGTGGAAACGAAGTGCGAGTTAACGAAATGGGCTAATTATCTCTCTGTACGGCAGCCTTCGATAAGTGTTCAGAAAATTCTATTTGGAGCTGTAGCTGTAAACATGTAATGTGCAGCGTTACCGAACTGTGAGATTTCGTTCGTTCGAAGATTTCAGTACGGTATTATTAATCTCAAAAAATGATCTGCTAATGTGGCTGCAGCATCGTCTAGTGAATGAGTGCAGACATTCAAATAAATTTTTTTTCCACGCATATTCAGCAATTCAGCCCGCCCCTGAGCAGATATACGTGTGGCAGCTGTCATGCTTCATTCACTATCGAAGCTTAACAGCAACAATTTATTAGAGCACGTTAAATATGAACAATCATATTTTCTAGTTATGTCTTACGATATTCCAACTCATCTGATTGCAAGCGTGATCCCAGTTCACATCTACCGGAAACATTTTTCATTGCGAATAATCAAATGACTACACCTGGCTTCTCCGAAAACTGCTTGCAGTTTGAAACGTGCTTGCAGCTAACACATACTTAAATCGAGGCCAAAGTATTTAGAACAATTGTTAGACGATTTATAGCACGATGTACTGTCTATACCATGAGAGAGCAATATGCTGTAGCAGTTTCAGGTAGCACACACATCTTTATAAACTGAAGGTGCTGCCTAAAATAATATTGAAGTGCGAAACGTGTGGCGTTTTCGAAGGTTTTCATACCTCTTCTGAGTCGCTGTGAATAGCTCTTAATGCGAGACGGTTCGTCATCCCCATACGAATAATTTTCCAGATTTCCATTCATAATAGCAGTGACCATGCATTTATTTATTTTTTTCATACTAAGGCGTCGCCACGTGCTAAATTTTATTGTTCGTCTTGCGGGTCTCGTGTGGGGAGAACCACACAAAGCATCGATACTATACGCACTATTCACTTCCCACACGACACCTTTCTACGCACAAGGAACTCCTTATCTTATCGTTCGCTGCCTAAGTGACGTCCTTTCGGCAGCCTTTGACTTGTTCACTGACACGAGAGTCGTGTGTCTAGACCGTCAAAACTCTTCCCGGGTGCTAATAAGCCCGGTAATTCGCTGTTATCCGCTCATGCGATAATAAACCACTCTCTTCACGAACAGTTCTCAATGTCCCCTTTCAGACACTCTGAACCATTGACACTTTTTTCGAGTGGCATTCTCGAAATTTACTGCAGTTTCGTTTCGAGCGTGGCTTTGGGCTTATCGCCACAATGATAACCAGGGAGTGACGCCAGAATTCAGTCTAAGAGCCTCCACTGCATTTGATTTTTAGGGTTGTTGTTGTGATAAACACGTCTGCGCGTCGGCTCCATCGAGCAACGGAAACTAATCTTATAGTCGTTCTCGGTTGCCACTGCCGTTATTGCAGAATCTGAGAAAACCAATTTATCTTGAGAACAGCGCAAAATGCTTTGAGTGCATTTCGTCTGACGCTGACTTAGTGTCTGTCTGCCTTTGAACGTCAAGAACATTTGCATTCTAAGGTCCCTAGCCTTTGAGCAAGGGGCATCGATTTGGTGTCCCACGTCACCTCACTGTTAAACTGTTTCACTTTTTGTTTTTGTTTTTTTGCAGACTCGCAAGTCAATGTTCACAGCCCATCAGGGTTGTCTTCCTGTCAACAGCCACAGTTTGGCATCCACGCATGCTCTATCATTTTTTTTTTATTGTTGAGTTACATGGCTTGTATCATTTTGCATCAAAATATCTGTGGTGAAGCAGCAGAGGAAAGTACCTGACCTAACTCATCCATCAACCACCTGACGTCCCTGCTGACGGCATATTCAACATGCATTTTCTTATGATTTTAATTTTTAATAAACTGGCATTGTTCACTATCAACTTGAAGTACTCGGTTAATTTTCAAACCGCACTAAATAGACACATCAATTTATTTTCTCGACACTATCACGGCTGTGTTGCAATTCTTAGACAGCACGTAGACAGTATACGAAGACTGCTTAGAAGACAGCATCGAGCCCATGCTGTCCTGAGAAATGGAACACAATTAGACGGCTTTTACGCGACGATCCGCCACCTCGCGTCAAGAAGAAAATTTTTAAATAAACAAACGTAACAGTTGTATTTACTGCCCAATTTCGTGTTGAAAGCAAAAAAACAAATAAACGTTACTCACATTGAGTGTCTGGGGAAGCGTTTGCTTGTGTGCAGACGACCATTTCGGCGAGATTCGATCTATCTGGGTGATTCGCGGAGCCGCCTTCTTGTTTAGACAGCAAAGTAGCCTGCATTTTATTTGTCTACGATGCGGTCTTCTCGGAGCTGTCTATTTTGCCGGCTACGTGAAAGTTGGAATGGGACTTCAGATGGCCGCCGTCCATTTAGCTGTCAATTTAGCCGTCTACGGCGAGTGTTGGAACACACCCCATATTTCATTTCTCTCCTACCTCGCATGAAAAAGCTCCACTGAGCCGCTTACTAATTTACTGTTCTCGTTATGCCATTCGATGAAGTGGTAAATAATACCGGTGTCACGCGGGTATTTTTAATCGCGGTCAGAGCCGATCCAGATTAACCACGATCCAGATTGGGGTGATGCTACCAGTCACATTTAATGGGGATCAGGCCCGATCAGGATCAAGACTATCGCGATCTGGCTCAGAGATCGCGATTTCGTGTAGTCTGCACCCCCTGGCCAGGCCCGTGGCGATTTGCGAGCTTCGCGGCCGCGCCGTAAGGCGTTGCCACTATCGAAACGACGACAGCGCACCGCCGGCGGTGGCAAACAAAGCGCCATCTAAGCCTTTTTTTTTTTTTTTCGCTATTCTATTCGCACTTGAAAATTATTCGTATAAAAAGCTGTTTCTCATTTAATTTTAAGCATTTTAAGCATGAATAGTGTGAACGCGTAGATGATTGGAAAGTGACCAACTTTAGCTGGCAGCGTGGACCTGTAAACAAACAGTCGTGCCGCACTGCTCGTCAAATGCACGCGGATACGTGGACATCAATTACGGAAAGTATGCCGAATACTGTTAACGAGGTGTTACCACATCTTCAGCTACGGAAGTGCTGGAACGTTATCGGTATACCTTTACTAGCTGCAGAGAAGGCTTCGTCGAGTGCGATGGATACATCGGCCAGTGCTACAACTTCTATGCTCCGGGCATCTGCGTTGGGGCTATGCGTAGTACGTACCTTGTTTGCACATTAACGCTGATGCACGCGTAATGTTCACTGCTGTACATGCTAAAACGTTACCTACGTGGCCTTTATTTCATGTAAACATCGATTCACTCGCAATAAAACAATTTATTGCCGCAAGTTTGTGTGATCGGCGCTGTCGTGTCGCTCGGACCATAAGCGGCATCACTCACTTGTATGCAAGATACTTGTGAGCATCTAGTAAGTAGTTTACTGCATTGTACTATATAGAAACGAGAGAAATAGAGACGGAGAGCTGCTCCAACGAGCGGGGGACAGCCATGACGCAGAAGCAGACGACGACGGTGTAGTCTGCTATGCGAACGGCCAGCCGCCACATCATAACGCCTGGCGCTTTGAAACATATTTTGAATTATACGCAGCTATAAACTATACAAACAATATTCTTTGTTAACATTTATTCAATAAAGCTATTTGACTGCAGATGGTAAAAGTTTTTCAGTTGTCAGTAAACTAGTATTATTGCAATTTTTGTACACTGCCACTGTTATCCAGACGGCGCAATCATCGCGTCTGTTCATCGCGTCGTTCCTCCGTGGTTGTAATAAAAAAAAAATTCAAGCATGTTTATGTTAAAGTGGACTTAAAAAACAAAATATTTATTTATGAAATAAATTTTATTATTCAAGATAGAAAAATTTCTTTAAATAAGCATATTTGAAGATTCGAAATGACCAAATGTAGTTATGGGAGAAGCAGACGATAGCAGACGACAAGTTCAACCCTCGCACCGACGAAGCGAATTGAGTGTCGCCAGCTTTTCGACTACGTCGCAGAGAACTCGCACTTCGTCGTCGAATGAAGAGACCTTTACAGTAATTAACCGCTGGCAGGAGCAACTGGGAGACTTGGGGCGCCAGAAGTGTAATGGTGGCGTGTACAACGAGATTGCCGTTTCGCTGCGACTGGAAGGCTACGAGCAGGTGCCATCGGAAGTAAAAGTGAAGATAAAGATTCTCGCACAGCAATACAGGTAAGCTAAAAGAAAACTCTAGCGAACAATGTATACTTACGAAGTTACTTTTGTAGTGGCACGCGAAGTTTTTGGCGTTCGAGCCGTTCTTGCACGATTAGCATAGTGCTGATAAATGGCTCTGTTGAAATATCGTAAGGTGAGCTTTGTCAACGACATGTTTTACGCCACACAACTGCCACCTGGTTCGAGCTTGTCTGATCCAAGCTCGAATCGGATTAGCTTGGGAAGTGTAGCAGCGGCCATATACTTAATCGCGATCAACAAAACCGATCTGGATCACCGTTATCGCGAATAAAAGTGCCCGTGTGACAGCGGTATAACCGACTTCAAGTCAGCTTTTGTCACCACCTGGCTCTTCCGTCTACTGACTCGTTACGAACTTTACACACCAATAACAGAAAGCAAAAGCTTTTGCACTGTATTTCTTTAATGGTGGGGAACCCTCATTCAGTGAGTTCCTTCAGACAGGCGGGTGGTGGGCAGGCGAAAGTTTTTGTGCCCCACTCCCCCCTCAGTGAAGCCCCGCAACGTTTAAAACCCGGAGACCCAGACTTTTATACAATCACTATTCTACGAAGCTCTATGCCCGGAGACTTCGCTGTACACGTGGATCGGATACTCACGCCAAACCACACTACCTCGCGTTCGACTTCGTTGGTTCACGTGCCGCACCGCGAAGTTGCCCGAAAAAAAAAATCACTCGCATTCAAGAAATCTAGATTTGTGCCGCCATCTACCGGCTTTATAACAAAAAGCGCCCGCTTCACGACAGCCTTCGAGACTCGATCAAAACGTGCTCGACCTTCGCGTTTTGCGGCGAATACGCATTCAGTGACATTCACTCCCTTTCCGTTGTGATGCCCTTGCGAGAAGCTCGATTTTAAAAAAAAAGCTTGGTTTGCTATGCTTCTTTTACTGTTTTATGCCCAAACTGTTAGTTTTGATTAATATTATCGGATGACTAAACGAAATCGTCGCTACAGATGTAATCTCAGAGGTTTAGTAATTGAAGAGCAAAGTGGTGTGTTTTCTCAGTTCTACGAGGAGGAGAGCCGGCCAAACACTGAAAAAGATGTTCCAAAGGCATCACGTATATTAAGTACGTCGAGTAAATGTATCATCTGAGTACGTTGAAAAATTTGGGCTGGGAATGAAGCAGTACAAGAGATATGGGGACGTTGGTTCGCTGCTGCTTTGGTGGAGAGCGCACCTGGTGGTCGCAGTCACAGCTGGCGCTCGATCAAACTCCCCGAGGTTGCGTCGAGTTTAACGGCCAAGAAAACAGAGCGCGCTGCCTGTCAACGCGCACAAATGAACGCATGTTCGCTGGCTCAATGCGATGTGGAATATCTTTTTTTTTTTTTTAGTGTTGGCGAACTGTAGTTTTTGAAACTCGAAAGGAATGCAAGAACATGCGGTGTTGCTAGTCATCGATCTCGCAACGGTGGCTTTGCTGTAGCATCCGAGATGTGAAAACATTGCCCTACGTAGGCCACTTAGCGGCGTGTCGCCTAGAGGACGACGGAGCATTGATGTGCTGCAACACCATCTGTTGCCGAAGCTTAGAGTCAGCCTGCTGATAAATCCTAGGGATACAGGGCCTCTAGGATGGAAGGCTGTAGTCACTGCGATGGTCGTGCATGTTCGTTCAAAACTCGCGGATTGTTTTCTGCAGTTTTTTTTTTATGCCGCGTTGTCAGTGTTTCTGACAGTGTTTTTTTTTTTTCCTGGGCATGACAGACGCGGTGTTTGCAAAAGCTTGCGTAATTATGCATTGTGGCTCATGCAGAGCAACTGGAACGTTGACTTCGAGCTTTTTGAGATAGAATAATAATACTTAAGCGGTGTTCCTGCACTTTAGTGGCCTTTTTGCGAAAACAATTGCGAAAAAAAGAGAAAAAAAAACAAGGCTGCATTTGTTAAAAGGCGTAAACTCGTTCTCCGTAGCAAAATTTTGCGACCACTTTTCCGCCTGATGCCGGTGAAAATATGGTGCGGCCTGAATGCGAATTTTCCCGACCTGCTCGGGGGTTAATTGCATATTTTATATACTGCGATACACGTGGCAGAATACGACATACCCGCGAAATGAACCAACAAGAATTTTTTCCTCCACGGTAGAGCTTGCTAAACATCGGGACAATCCGCACATAATTGACCTACTACTGGCCACTGAAAGCGGGTATGTGCCAATCAGCTCCTAGCATAGCATACTCGTGCATAGAATAGTATACCGAGGGTTTTGGAAAGGTACATCAGGGTGATATGTGATGAGCAGATCAGGAGCAGACAAAGTAGGATAAAAGACGGTAAAACATAGAATAACCGCGTATAGTATAATATAAAGAGTGGTGAGAAAGAGAAGCGAGGGCAAGGAGGATGAAGGTAAAGCATCGTATAACTATTGTAGTATAGTACAGCAAACGGTGGGAAAGACAAGTAAAAGTGAAGAGGCGTCACGTGAGGGTGAGAAGCAGAGAAATGAGGATTGGAAGGACACTAATTCGTGGTTCGCTCAGTCTTCGCAAGACTGTTTTATTATTATTATTATTATTATTATTATTATTATTATTATTATTATTATTATTATTATTATTATTATTATTGTTGTTGTTGTTGTTGTTGTTGTTGTTGTTGTTGTTGTTGTTGTTGTTGTTGTTGTTGTTGTTGTTGTTGTTGT